GCAACATACTTGATTTTTTATCAAAAACACATATTGTGAAGGGAATAATCAAATCTCTAACTTGAAAGAAAACCGTAACATGACACAGTTGTAGACATAAGGACAAAGAGTTACCCCTGGGTATGCCCTTGTCGTGGTGTTATGTTGGAAGGCCTGTGTGAAAGTACAATGAGGAACAAAGAACTGTGTTCACAGCCTCAAACAACTACACCCATTGCAGAGATTACTAAACACAGTTTGAACATGGCTTTTAAAAAGATCTTTCTAAAAGAAAGATGCTTGACTCCTTATTAAAAACACTGTATTGAACAACAATGTTCACATATGCAAAAAATACACACCCATTGCAGGGATTACTGAAAGCAGATTGATTGATTGACTTCTTTTTTTTTTTTTTTTTTTTTGCAAGGACCAAGATTAATTTTCAAAAATACATGCTATCAAGGGAGAAAAGTCTCTAACTTGAAACAAAACCATAAACATGACACAATTCTAGACATTAGGACAAGGAGTAACTCATAGGAGTGCGTGTATCGTGTTGTGTGGAAGGCCTGTGTGAATAGTTAGGGAAATATCAAGAACTGGGTCACAGCCTCAGACAATCTACGTTGACAACCTTCCCTTACTTGCTCATTGTGAGCTGGACAGATAGCTGGGGGTTAAGAGCACTGGGCTTGTCCCAGCACCGACAGCCATCCAGGTCTGGCAGATGCTCCAGGGGTACAAGCAGCACAGATATGCATGGTGTGCAGACATACACATAAAATTGAATAAGTCAAGCAAGTCATCAATTAGATTTGTTTCTTCCAAAAATTTTACAAATTATTACACAATGAGACATTGGCCCATCCTTCCAACTGTAAGACATAATGCCCTACACCTGGTAGTACTGTTTTAATTTTGTTTTATATCTATGGTCCTTGCTCATAGCTTCAAATGATGCTTACTAAGGGATACTAACCCTTGACCTCCTTTCTACTCAGGCCTCTAGATCACCTGAAGTTCTTTCTCTGGAAACTACATACCACCTCTCAGCATAAACCCCAGTGAGGGACACTTCTGATATAACCTCTGCTCATCTAGAAATAGCCATGTTGGTGACTGCCCCGGGATCTGAACACATTGGATCTGAAAAGCTTTGAACGTGAGTAATGTTATGATAAAAGCAAATGTGAGTTTAAACGTTAGAATGCTAGGGTTAGAACAGATCAGATACACACACAAAAAAAAAAAATAGTGGGAGGAGGATTTTGCAGCTGACACAAGATAGCCTAGCTTACTAGAAAGGAGAAAGATTAGCAAAGCCTTTGCAGAAAACTGATTTTTGGTCTAATTAACCCACATTTTGTGTTTATACTAGCTGTAGTTCTGTAGGTCTGGAAAGATGGCTCAGCTGTTAAGAGCACTTGCTGCTCTCCCAGAGGAACCAGGTTCAATTCCTAACACTCTTTCAGTCTGCCCTCAACCATCTCCAACACTAGTTTCAGGGAACCTGATGCCCTCTTCTGGCCTCTGTGGATACTGCATGCATATGACGCAGGCAAACACTCCTATGCATAAAATAAATAGGGGCTGGAGAGATTCATTGACAGTTAAGAGCATCTGTTGCTCTTACAGAGGAGCACAGAAAGCTAGACTTTAATTCTTGGCACTAATATCAAATGGCCCACAGTTACCTTAACTCTAATTCCAAGGGACCCAGTTCCTCTGGCCTCTTACACACACACACACACACACACACACACACACGCACACACATTTAAATATTATAAAAATTTTTAAAGAAAATATTTTAAAAATTGATTCTTCACAATTTAGACACAAAAGCTCCCATGTTCTTAGAATTTTCTTATTTCATCTAAGTTAGTCAGTTTTGAAGCATAAAGTTTTTTATTCTATTTTATTGTCTTAAGAGTATGTGTGTGCGTGTGTGGGTGTGTCTGTGTGTTCACGTGGATCCAGAAGAGTGTGGGCACACCCAGGAGAGCTGGCCTAGAGCAAGACTGAGACTGACATGTATCCAAACCCTGACAATCTCCTCCTGGCCCGGCAGAGTTAGGACCCCTCTTTCCCTGCTCTGGGCCTGCATGCTCCCCTGAACAATATCGACCTCCTCCACCTCTGAGGACAGTCATGTAGTCTATAGCCAGACGGCAGGTTCAACTTTGTCCCTTCCAATAAGAACATGATTGGCAAGAGCCTGGAGTTCCTGTCTTAGTTAGGGTTTTACTGCTGTGAACAGACACCATGACCAAGGCACCTCTTATAAGGACATTTAACTGGAGATGACTTACAGGTTCAGAGGTTCAGTCCAGGCAGGCATGGCATGGGAGGAGCTGAGAGTATTACATCTTCATCCAAAGGAAGCCAGGAGCAGACTGATACTCTCTTCCCCCACTGGGTTTAGGAGACTCAAAGCCCACCCTCACAGTGACAAGGCCACACCTCCTAATAGTGCCACTTTCCATGGGCAATGCATAGTCAAACCACCACATCCTCTTTTATATAAATGAAGGATTTGCAGCACCTCAGGCTTAGCCAATAATGTGTACCCATCCTGAAAACCTTACCCACTCCTCAAGGACTATATAGCCCTTGTTCAACCCCAAATAAAGTTGAGGTGTCTCACTGAAGGTAATCCTGGATATCCATTTCTCATGCTCACAGCTGTTCCCTGCACCCCTCCCACCTCTACTCCCCTTACCCTTGTGGGCTGGGGGAGGGGCAACTACCTTCAAGGAAGAGGAAACCCACAGAAAAAGCAACTCCTGGAGCTGGAGTTATGGGTGAGTGTGAGCTGCCTGACACAGGCGTGAGCTGTCTGATGTGGGCTCTGGAAACTGAATTCCAGTTCTCTAAAAAGAGCAGCTAGTGCTCACAACTCTGAGCATCCTCCAGCCTAGTGTACCCTCACAATTCTTGGTACTTCTGCTGGACGGACTGCACTATCCTGCCCTGAATGAGGTTTGAAGCAGGCAGATGTTGTTAGGCTCTAGAGAGCCATCCTCAAGAACTTGACACCCTCCCGAACTTAGAGTCTGATGCATTTGAATATGATTTAAAAACCAAATTTGGGTATCTCCCCAGTTCCCAGAATTATAGTAACAATACATACACACTTATGATACACATCGCTTTCAATGAAAGTCCCCAGGGGACAGGCTTCTCCGCTCTCAGGCTGTACCCTGTCTGTCTGTAGTGTCGATGCTGGAAACAGAAGCAGCTCGCAGAAGTACACTCGCTTCCAGCACTGCTGTCTATCTCACACTCACACCAAGGCCTAGAAATGGCCCAGTCCCCTTCACATTGACGCATAGTGTCCACACAAAGGACAGAGTACACTGGGTTTGCATGTGTATCTACTTGCACAGCCATTAGTAGATCAAAATAAATCATGTCTATCTTTTCAGAAGCAGCCTTTATGTGTAGAAGGACGGGAACAGATTCCAAGTGTCCCAGCCACAGGAGCAGGGAGTTTGGTTGAAGGCTGTCATCTAGGAGCCTTGGCTAGAGGAGTCCTCGGGGAGTTGTCCCGACCCTGCTACGTGCTAGGCACCTGTGTCCTCAGGTTGTGCAAAAATTTGACCTCCAGCCTCCCCCACCCCTGCTCCACCCTACAAACTATCCAAAGATGGAGAGATTGGAGTCTTGCCTTTCTGGATGAGACAGCATTGCTCTGGTCCAGCCAAGGACCTCTTCTGTGGTATGAAAGTATCGCTCCAAAATTCACCTTTGACACTGTGTCCCCAGAGCAGCAGGGTTGGGCCCTTTGGGTGGCGTTTGGCAGAGCCCTTGTGGACAATCATAAAGTCTTTTAGAAGAGAGTCTGTGCTGTGCCACGAGGATGTGGAGCACACAGCATGGAGCACTCCTTCCTTAGGGAGGATGTTGCAAGCCCTAACCTGGAGGCTCCTTGATCTCAGGCTTCCAACTTCCAGAGGTGTCAGGAATAAATCTCTGTTCAGTGCAAAGTATCCATCTGTGGTCCTCTGAAGTAGCAACGCAGCATGGACGAAGCACCCTGACCAGCCTCACCTTGGACTCTTTCGAGTTGGCAGAAGCTGCCTTGTGCTTTGAAGCAGGGTTTTGATAGGTGATATTTTAAGCATAATCCTCCTGCCTGAGCCCGCATCACCCCAATTGCAGGCCTGAGTCACCACACCCGGTATTGTTACATCCTTTCTTAAATTGCTTTCATCTAGGAAAATGCAGCTCTACCCTTTCTGCCATGGATTTACTCTCTACCTACCTGGTTAGGTCAGGCCCGAATTCATCTTCTGACTTACCATCTTGTTCTATCCCTGCTTCCTTGAGCTGCGGCCTTCACAGCTCCCGGTGGTGACTCTAGGAAGCCAGCACAGTAAGATGGGAGAAAGAGCATAGGCCATTCCTCCTGGAGAGAAGTCCTTAGATACCCTGATCCAGGCAAGCGATCAAGGTGGGTTTCATAAGAAAGCGGGTCAGTTGCCTTTGAAAAGAATGATCGGTGAGGTTTAAGTCAGAAGAAAGCTACAATCTGGAAAATCCTTGTCTAAAAACTGGCCAAGACAGTGTCAAATGCCCTCCAACTCACACCTCAGAGAATGGCCATCCTGCATAGCCACCAGAGAAGTTGGTTAGCCTTCCTGCCCTCAGGTCATGGTGTGGAGCTCAACAGTTCCATGGTTCTGTGAGGTCACTGAGAGAGAAGAATCAGGACTTGGGTCTGTCTCCAGCTGCTCCAAGTCCTCGCTCCTTTGGATTTTGGCAATTTTGGGATGAGGGGAGGTCAGCTGAGTGAGCACTGGCTCCAAGTTCAGTCTCCCCTCTGGCCACCGCAGCCTCTTACCGCCTTTATGAAGAGAAATTAGGCAGCGTGAGTCCCTTCCACCAAAGCAAACTGAGACTCCTCTCAGAAGCTCCTCAGAATGGGAGAACAACATTGAAAACAGCCTTTTGTTTTTCTGTTTCTAGAAAACATAAAGAACAAGAAATCTGCATTCAAACTAGGCTGAACAAAAATGTTTGTGCAAAGCGAGGCTGAGAAATTCGAGGAGAGTGTAACATCGAACACCATGGCCTTCGAGACCACAGCGATCACGTTCTTCATCATCCTGCTTGGGTGCTTCCTCTGTATCCTCCTCTTACTGGCAATATTTCTATATAAATGGTATAAGTCCATCTTGATAATCAGAGTAGATCTCAAGGCACGTAGCAAGCATATTTAGAAATAATAGGAAATAACTTTAGATAGCTGGTGGCACACACCTGTAAACAGAATTCTGGAGGGTTAGTAATTCGAGGTCATTCATTATTACCCAGAGACTTTGAGGTCAACCTAGGCTATGGGAGACCCTGTCTCAAGACCCCAATTGAAATAGAATAAACAATGTAGGAAGTATTCCACGTCAGGGTTTTAAAAGTGCCAGTTTCCTGTTCAAAAGTGAAAGTCCCATACCATGGCCTAGAGCCTTCTTTTTTGAGACTTTGCTTGTTATTTTAGTTTCAGAGGTGACAACAATGAAGACCCAGGGAAGCCCCTCTGTGCAGGCGAGAACAATGGTGTAGACTGCTTAGGTAATGCAGAGATGGACAAACGCAATCAAGACAAGTAAGTCTAGGGACTAGGGAGAGGGCTTGCTGCTGACATATGACACCCCAAGTTTGGGTCCCAGCACCTACATAAAAATGCAAGTATGATAGCAATATCTTTAACACCAGCTGGGGGCAAAGAGAGACAGATCCCAGCCCAGAGGAGCTGTGCATTTCAGGTTCACTGGCTGATCCATCCCTCTCCCCCCCCCCCCAAAAAAATAGTGAAGAAATGACATCCAGATTGCAACAAACAACCTCTGAACTCTGTACACACCCAGTCAGATAAGAGACTGTATATTCACATACCACACACACAGTCACACAGTTACACACAGTCACACACATGTGCACATACATACACAAACATAGTTATACATACACACAGTCACACACACACATAGACATACACACATACTGAGTTACACACATATATAGTCACACAATACACACTTAGACATGCACACATATACACACATAGACACACAGAGTTACATATAGTCACACACACACATACATATACATGGACACACATTACACAGTCACACACATACACATATACACATATTCAGACATACACACACAATGTCACACACACTGGATTACACAGTCACACACACAGTCATACACACAGACACAGTTATACACACATACAGTCACACACAGTGTTACACACACACACACAAACACACACACCAACATAAAGTGATATGGATGTCCTAGCCATTTTTGTGTGTGATAATGTTAACGAAGATATATGGATTTTTTTATTAAACTCTTGATGATTTTCCAGGGTCCTACTGCACTTCGTAAACATGGACATGCCAGTGAGACCTAGCATTCTTGTGCAAAGGCAGAGTAGGGAAAAGATGGCCACATCCTCAGGAGACAACATCAAGGCGGAAGAGTACAAAAACAGACAGACATATGAGCCTGCGAATGCTAGAGGATCCAACCATGAGGTGACATGTTCTCTCTCGGGGTTGCTTTGATCGGGGGTGTAGGTTTGATCGGGGAGGAGTGGGCGTAATTAGATATTAATGATTAAGACGAGGCGTGGCCAAGCTGCAGCCTTTCCACTGTTAGCTTTCATCCTTACATTCCTGTTCGTCTTCATAGTACCCCTTCATTGTTCCGCTTATACTCCTGAGATCTTAGAGCCATAAAAGTCCCTACAACTTATCTAGGATCTAAACTTCTGTCCCGTGGAAACCTGAAATGAGTTGTGACCTTCCTATGGCTGCTGAACAAGCACTGTGTCCTTGCCGCAGCCCTGGGAGCCTTTTACATCCCACACAAACACTTCTAGAACCTTCACGAGCTCCCGCCATGCCTCCAGAGCCTAAGACAGGAAGCTGGGCTGTATTGCTCTCAGCTTTGACTCCATGCCACGTTAGTCTGTATCAATTCAGGGAGCAAGCATGGTGGATTACCACTGCTGAAAACTCTTTTACCATTTGAAAACCCTTTTTCTGTTTCTCGTTCTCAGTGCACATATTAACAATGCATTAAAATATGGGCTCCTTGCTATCCATAGGTTGGTCATTTGTTTGTCCGGTTCTCTTTGCAGAGTGAGCTTGCTGAGAAAATACCCATACATGTCCACAGATCTTCAGTTGCCGGAAGCCAAAAAAGACCTTTAAAAGGAGTGACATTTTCTAAGGAGGTGATTGTTGTGGATCTTGGAAACGAGTACCCTACACCTCGGAGCTATGCTCGAGAACATAAGGAGAGGAAGTGAACTGCAGACAAAGCTGTGTGAGAAGTATATATAACCTTTGACCAGCTTGGGTCGACTGAGGGTGCTGGGTCGTGTCAAGGCAGCAGAAGGATGGGAAGTGAGCAAATACAGACGGTATTCTACCTTCGTGGAAGAAGAGAACTGTGCAAAATTCTGTACGTAAAATACTGAGCTCAAATATAGTTTTTAACAAACAAATCTGAGTTTGGTAAGTTGACTATAATAAATATCCTTAAGTGTCTGTCAAGCACAGCAGTGAGTATCACATTTGTTCAGGTGCTTTACAAAGGCCACACTTTGGATTCTTTGACCAGAGGCATTCATGATCATGCTGTGGCTACCATCCTGGGAACCCTGAAATCTATGTCTGGGGTCCTCTGTGCATTGCATATAATCCGGAACCTTCCATGTACTGATTATTACTTTATAAGATTGACTCAAAAAACAAACTACTACCAACAAAACCTACTGCTACATTTTGCAAACTTTAGGATTAAACCATTCTTGATTCCTGTCACTTAAAATTACTGTCAAAGGCAGGGACAGGGCTACACACCTGTAGTATCAGCTACTTGGGAGGCCAACTTCAGCAGATTGCTTGAGTCTATGTGAGACCAGTCTGGGCAATACAGCAAGACGTTCTCTCTAATTAATGATACAAATGTGCTGTTCAAATGTGGAGTATTCAACATAGAGCAGAATGGCCACCTTCAGAGGATTGCAGGAAACATGAGCAAATGTGATGGGCAGTGTCTGTGTGGAAAGTTTGCTGGTTACAGCTGAGAGCTCCTGTCAGGGACTTGACAGGTAACTTGCTGTCAGTGTCCCAGGTGCGGTAGAAGCATGGTAGGAGAATACATTAAATTGGTCTGAGCTGAGAGAGATGTGCAGAACTACTCAGAGACTCTGTGTTCTCAAGAAGCATTTTAAAATTTTACCTAAAACCAACATTACAATTTTGACTTATGGTAAAATATACCTGATTGCTCAATGGTGGTGAATTCATTCACATTAGTATACGGTCATTTCCAGCCATTCACAGAAACCATTTAATAGAACAGGAACACTGAATCCCAGTGTTAGCTCCCAGTCCCTCCTCCTGTCCCTGTTGCCAGGACCTTGTCCCTGTGAATCTGACTACCTCACGTGTGTTTCCTTTCAAGGCTGGCTTGTGTCATTTAGCAGTGTCCTCACGGGTGATATGAGTGTCACCACCACTCCTGCCTGTACAGGAGTGACACTGCATTTGTGTATATACCACACTGAGCTCACCCTCCATCTGCTGATGAACAGTTCTGTTGCTTCTGTCTTTGGACAACTGTAGTGATGCTGTTAGGAATATTTACCATTTAGGGAAAAATTAGACTTAGCCACATATCTCTATTGCTGTGTGTTCCAGTGTAAGTTTGTAATTTCAGTGTTGGCTTCCACTTCTGCGTTTGTGGAACCAAGTTACTTTATCCTAAACTGATAAGAATATAGGTGAGGTAAACTTAAATGTATGTTGGAGTCAGTATCTCCTGTACTAGTCAAGGATTGGTGAAAGCTCCATCAGGAGCTGTCATGGTCCGGGCACACAGGCTCCCAGAAGTCCAGGACCATAGCAGAGCAGCAGGGCACTCCGGAATAGCAGAAAGCACTTTACTGTTAATTTGCATTTTATTGGTTCTGTGATGCTGTTTGTATTTACTTGGTTTTGTTTTTATTTTGGAGTCAAAAGAAGACTCTACTAGTCAATACCCAGGTTTACATTTCTTTATGTTGAAGTAGAACAATAACAAACAGCCGATGGCTATGATGGTGGGGACAGGGATCCAGGAATGGTCAGGATATGGAGATTGCTCTGGTTCAGGTGAGAAGGGCACAGATGTGGCATTAGAAGGTGACCATGCAAGGAGGCCCGGGGTGGTGCTCCTAAGTCTGGAGATGTGAGAGACCCCCGAATGGGAATCCTAGAGGGAAGATTCGTGATTTTTTTCAAAAAGTGGATTTTAGTTCTGTTGAACTTGTAATGTTGGCCAGAGGGTCAGTCAAGTAAAGATGACAAATGAGGGATGGGTGTGGTGGTGTATGCCTACAATGGAGGATGGGTGGAAGGAATGTGAATTTGAGGCCAGCCTGAACTACATAATGAGATCCTATCTCAAATGAAATAATAATAATATAGATGGGTATTAAACAAACAAAACAGCCCACTGGGTGTGGAACAGCACCTGGAGGACTGAACAACACAGACGTCTGAGTTTGAGGGCAGCCTGGTCTACATAGTGAGGCTGTGTTTCAGGCTAGTTGGAGTTACATAATGAAACCCTGTTGTCTTAGTTACCTTTCTGTTGCTGAGATACCATGACTGCAGGGTGGTCGGCAACATCCGCTTTGCTGCTGCGCATGGTGGGGAGACGGAACACAGGGAGTTTGATTGTGTTTCCCCAGCTCCCGATGCTGAGGACGGTGCTGAGACAACCCTCCAGGGATGGGAAAGCACAGTTTTAGGTGTGGGAAGGCCAGAGCTGGTTTGGGGGTCCCCAGGCCTGCAATGAGGCCAGGCCATGAGATTCTCAGGCTCTTGGACATCCAGGCACCACTGAGAGTTACAGAAGAGCAGAGAACAGAGTCTGGATCCCAAGGGCTGGGGACAGCATCTAGCCTGGGGCTGGGGGAAAGGGGAGCTCTGGCTTGTCCCAGCAGAGAGTGTTCTTAGCTTGTCAGATGCAGGCTTGGTGGCAGTTGTGGCTGGGAGCACAGAGAGGCCTTCTACAGGAGATTCTACAGCTTTCTAGGCAGAGGTCTTCTTGGCTCCCCACAGCGGATCTTGGTGAAAAAGAGGTTCTGAGCAGTTTATTGTTATGACAGAAAATGGATGCATAAAAACATAACCCACTTCTCAGGGTGGACCTGCAATTTAATTCCTTTTGCAGGGAAGGGAAACTTATTGGCTAGGCCCTCTGGGCCTCTAGGTACCTCATTAGCATGGAGAGCTCTGTTTTGAGCCTACTTGACTGTGGTCTGAGATGTTAGGGATGCCTCATCTACATGTGGAAGGGTTTGGGGCATTGCCCTTATGTGACTGATGGCCCAAATCTATGGGGTCTGTAAGTGATGGGGCCTGGTGCTGGGAGCAGTCGAAGCTCCTACAGTCCCTTCAGGGTCTCCAGGACTTCTAGCCTTTAGATCAACTTTACCAGGCTTCCTCTCATGGTCTACCGCCCTGCACATGACCAAGGCAAGTTATAAAGAAACATTTATGTGTGGCTTAAGGTTTCAAAGCGTGAGCCCATGACCATCACAGTAGGGAGCTTGGCAGTAGACAGGTGTGGTGCTAGAACAGTAGCTAAGAGCCATAACCAAGAGGCAGAGAGAATGGCACGGGCTTTATCTCAAACCCAACCCCAGTGACACACGTCCTCCAACAAGGACAACACATGTCCTAATCCTTCCACAGTCTACCGAAAAACGTGTTTTAGTTAGGGTTACCATTTCTGTGATGATGCAGCATGACCAAAAATCAAATTGGTGGGGGAAGGGTTTATTCAGTTTATACTTCCATGTGACTGTTCATTATCAACAGAAGTCTGGACAGGGACTCAAAGCAGGGCAGGAGCCTGGAGGCAGGAGCTGAGGCAGAGGCCATGGAGGGGTGCTGCTTACTGGCTTGCTTCCTACAGCTTGCTCAGCCTGCTTTCTTATGGAACCCAGGACCACCAACCCAAGAATGGCTCCACCCACAATGAGCTCAGCCCTACTGATCACTAATTAATTAAGGAAATGCCTTACAGCTCCATCTTATAGAGGCTCTTTCTCATATGAAGCTCCTCCTCAGATGACTAGAGCCTGTGTCAAGGTGACACATACCAGCCAGCACATCTACCGTCACAAAGTAAACCCCAAATGTGTTAGTCAATGTTCTATTTTTGTGAAGACACTCCATGACTACAGCAACTGGGCTTGCTCACAGCTTTGGAGGTTTAGTCCATCATCAAGGCAGCAGGCATGGTTGTGGAGCAGTAGCTGAGAGCTACAGCCTGATATACGGAGGTGGGGGGGCTGGGACTGGGACTGGGGTTTGGGCTTTTGGAAACATAAGAGCCCACCTCCAGAGACTCACAGCCTCCAACAAGGCCACACCTAATCCCTATCAAAGAGTTCTACTCCCTGAAAACTAAGCATTCAAATATATGAGTCTATGGGCTATTCTCATCCCCATCAGCCCACCAAACAACTCTATAAAGACACTTAGGAGGCAGAGTTCAATCCCCCTACCTTGGCTGGTGAGACCCTGTCCCCAAACGAAACACATCAGAAATGAGCAAAGGGAGGAAGGTTTAAGTGCTCATTTTGACAGCCCTAAACCAATCTAAAACCAAGATATAAAACTTCTGGAAAATGGGTGATATTGCTAAAGGAATAACTAGGTGAGTTAAAGGCTCCTTCACGACATAGCAGGATTTATTGGCAAAATTTCCGGAGGATAATTAGGCAGTTTTGTTTTGTTTCTTCTTGAGACAGTGTCTCTGTGTAGCCCTGGCTGTCCTAGAATTCATTTGTGTAGACCAGGCTGGCCTTGGACTCACAAAGATCCATGAGCCTTTGCTTCCTGACTGTTGTATCATGTCTGGCTTAGTTTTGTTTGTTTGTTTGTTTTCAAAAAAAAAGTGTATGTACCTTTTGAGCCAGTAACTCCTCTGCCTGGAATTTATCCTGTAAATATTTATAAAGCATTATTAATGTATAGACTGTTTGCTTCTTCCAGAGCCAGAGTTAGGGACAGAAGAGCGTGGGCAGGAAAATGGGCAGTCTTCAGATGCTGCTCCTCGAAGTCAACCCATTGCTGTTCACCTGTTCTGCTCATTGAGTCATAGATCAGCCCACACTCAAGGAAGGGTTTACAGAGGTCACCAAGTACCAAGGACCAGAGAGGTAAGGCTACCTACTACAGCCCCAGTGACTGAGAGAAGCAAGCATAAATCTCTGGGGACATTTGGCTTTCTTTCAACATTTCC